TGGCTGGGTTAGGGTTAGGGTTGGTTCCCATGGCTGGCTGGGGAATTCTGGGCGTTGAAGTCCACCCATCTTCAAGTGGCCAAGGTGGAGAAACACTGGCCTACAGCATTCCCAGAATCTACTAGGATGTTCTCTGGCAAAGCGCGAGATCAGGTAGTCTGACCACACCGTCCGTGATAATCCCGCCACCTCGTTCTCAAGGGACCCACTGCTCTGCCCCAGAATCTTCCCATGCGTCAGTGCCAGACTGACCGGGCTGCAGTTGGCTGGGTCCTCCTTTGCCCCCTTCTGAACAATGAGAAACATTTACCCTCCTCCGGCCACTTGGCGTTTCAGCGGTTCTCTGAGATCGCTTGAGCGCTTGGCCAGGCTGAACCAACCAGCAAGTTGGTTCCTGTACTACTTGCCTTGAACACTCTGAGAGGATGTTAGGGTATACTCATTAGTAAAGGAATTTTACTGTGTGAACAACACAAAGAACAACAAAGCTAACCACATAGCTGGAGCTCATGGCTAATGAGCCAGTTGCCAGCAACTGACTAGGAACGAATCAGCACAATGCAAGGAACATCAGCAGCGTGGGTGGAACATATGCCTGCTGAGTGTTTCTGCGCGTTGTGGAGTATTGTGGGTTAGCTGGTAAGTTAGGTGTGTTGCTGTATATATAGGAATTACTGTATTCGCCTGTAAGAAGTAGCTCGCGCATATAATTGTACACAGTGTAATCTGTGGATAGTACAAAATCAAAGTCCGAGTTGTTCTTCTTCCGGCACCGCTCGCAGCCTGGCGTATAGCGCTACTCTGACAGAGAGGGGTCCAAGCGAAGACCCACATTCAGCCCCAAGAAATGGGATGGAGCAGCCCCTCATGCCAGCTGGAAAACGGCTGTTCTCAAACATTCCCAGCCAGGACTGGGTGATGCATCAAGGAGTCTGGACTCACACAGCCAAATTAATGCATGACTTTGCAAAGGCCAAAACTGCTCTCTCTCTAACAAAGGCTAAAATTTCAACTACTTTGGCTGCCCACCATAAGCATCTGCTGCTGCGAGCCGCGATGATGACATCAAGTGTGTCACGCAAGTAAGTCGAATGCCAATTATACCGTTCGTTCCATTTGGGATTTCGCCTGCCTTCTTTACACCTCCACCTCCCCACCCAACAATCAATGAACAGCTTCATCCTTCCCCAACCTGCTGCTTTCCAGAACGCTGGTCTGCTGCCATGGCACTGGGCTTTGGGGGGCGGGGGGGGGTGGGAAAGGTCACCCTGTTGAGGAAGGCTGTGCCAGGGTGGGTTTCCTGGGCCCCAGGAAGAGCACCTCCCTATTCTGAGTGGTGGGTGGGACCAGCTGACATGCAGCGGTGCAGGAGGGGTGCCCACAGGCTCAGGATGATCTCAAGAAGCCACATAGACCTCGAGCAAGACAACAAACTTTATTCAGTCCATAAAACGCAGAGTTGTTGAGGAAATGGCGCAGCTGCACCCCAGTGGAAGAGGAATACAAAGCAACAGAAGGGTTCAGGAAGGAAAGGACTCCCTGGACAAAGAAGAGAATAAGCAGCAGGCATTCAACCAGGGAGGTTCTATTCCCAGACTGCCCCCCGCCCCCCTGGTGCCGTGAAGAACCAAGCCCACCCGTCCCTAAGCAACCCAGATGGAGCAGAAAGGGCTTTGGGGCTGTTCCAGGCCGACTGGCTGGAGAGGTTGGAAGCTCCGAAACCCCCAGAGAAGGAAGACTTGCACAGAAGGAGCAGCAGCAGCAGCAGCTTGGGCATGAAAAGGGCACTGCTGGTCACCCCCCACCCCAGGAAAGGTGGTGACCTGCCTGCTGCGTGGCAAATCAGCCAGGAGCTGGATAGATGCAGGCGGCTGCCCCACCTCGCCCCAAGAAAGGCACATTCCACCCAGCCAATACAGCCCTGGATAACTGAGGGCAGCTCCCAGCCACCACACTGCCCTCCTGCAGCTCCAGAAACTGCGGCCTGCATCTCTTGCAAGATGAGGGGAGGGGAGGGGAGGGGAGGGGTGGGGTGGGGTGGGGTACAAACAGGAAAACTGTGGGCCTCTTATCAGGGAAAATTAAAACCATGAGAAACCGTGGGCCTCCCCAAAGGCCTTGAAGAAGCAACGTAGAAAAGTTCTGCAGGAAACCAAATGGAGACCTCAAGAGGTCCTGCAGCCTTTGGAGGACGTCCTCGGGCCAAGCCTCTCCTCCCCCAGGCCAGGACTGAACTGATAGCCGGCTGGTTGAAGGGCATCTTTACTTCCTCATGTTGCTACAGAGATGCGCAAGTTGACTCTAGAAGAAGAGAAGCAATGGTGGGTAATCAGAACTCCTTCCAAGGAAACGCCACAGGGTTGGCACAAACACCCAGAGGGCCTTGTCCACCCCACGACACGGCTGGCTGAAACTGCTGGGGTGAAAGTTACCTCCTCTTCCTTCTGACTCTGCCAGGGCAGGAGCTGGGACAGAGAGGTGCCACCCTGCTTGGGGTGGAGAACAGGGATGCAGCCTCAGCCCACCCAGGGAGGAGGTATCCAAGCAAGAGCCTCCCCCCAGCTCCTCTTCCACCCAGCAACGCTACACCTGACCTGCCAACCTACAGAGGCCAAAAGATCTGCAGCCTGTTGGAGCAGCCAAGGCCCAATGCCTGTGTCGCATCAGATTTCTTTGCATCTACCTGGTGTGCCACTCCCCCGAGGCTAGGCCTGGAGGCCATTAACAGCTGTCTGTCCTCAGGGGGGTTAGGTGAGCCTGTGAGTTGCTGGGATTAGTGTGGGTGGCCTCGGCCACCTTGTTTTATTTCTGCTGCTATTCCATCCCTGTTAGAGAGTTTTTTGCCTCTGTTCGTGCCCAGAATCGCTTATGCAAGATGGGCGGCTGTCTAAAGTGAACGAACAAATGAACCCCACTCCAAGCACCCCGGGAACTAGAGGCCAACGCCCCAGGAAGACAGCCGACAGAGATTCGGGAAGGTCAGTCAAACCGGACAGGGCCCCAAGAAATCCAGAAAGAGGGAGTCCGCTGGGCTCCCAGGAAGAACGGAGGAGGGGGGACAGCCGAACCCACCGACAACTTCTTCACGCTCCCCAGAGTCTGTGCGTTCAGACACATCAGATCCTTCTTCGAGAGCTCGCTGGCCCTTATCCGGATGCTCTGCGCAGAGAACAAAGGGCTGTTACCCTGGTGCAGGGCTGAGGCCTAGTGGGCAGCTTCTCTGGAGGCCAAGCAAGTATTCCCGCTGCTTCCACAGTTTACCCACCGACTCACCTGATCAGCGCACAAACTGCATAGGGCTCTTCTCTCTGCCAAGCCAAAGCTGGCATTTCTGTCCCGAGAAACGGTAGCCCCCGAAGTCACTCCCACCCTGGGGAGAGGCGGGAGGGTAAAGCCCCTCCTTGCTTGCCGCCACTCGGGGCAGAGGCAGGTTCCATGCTGCCCTGGTGCCCGAAGGCCTCTCTTACCTCTCCTCCGCCAATAGGCAGCGTGAGGAAGACTTCGCTGCTGTCTGCCAGGGGGCTGCCATTCACAGAGATGCTGAAGACTGGCTCGTGGGCGGCAGGGGCCCGCAGACCAGGTGTCTTGAAAACACTGGAGGCAGGAGGAGCCAAGATCAGGAAGCCAGTCCAACCCAGCCTGCCCCGGAGCTTCCAGCACCCAGGCCCCTTGCTTGAGGCAGCCCGAGAGATGGGGCAGAGGGGCTCACCTGGAGTCAAACTTGGCAGTAGGCGTGGGCGCAGGACTGGCAGCTTTTGTGAGGGCCCCACGGCTGACCGGAGTGATGAGGCTGACTTTGCTGGACCTGTTAAAATACAGCAGCCGCCGCTGCAATGGCTAGTTTGGGCCTGGGCGTCCAAGCTAGCTGCTAGAGCCCTAGACTGGAACTCTGGGCTCGGAAGGGCTTTGAAGCCATCTGGCCCACCCCCTTGCTCAGTATAGGGCTCCAATTACTCCACCCTCAGGGGAGATAAGCCCTCCACCTCCCTGGGTCACCGGTTCCACGGAGAGGATGCTTTTGTTGTTAGGGACTACTTATAATTTAAACGAATGATTTTGTCCCGGCCCGCGGAAGGAAAGAGGTCATAGAATCGCAGGGTTGGAAGGCACCTTGGAGTCCTCCACCCATCCCAGAGAAACGGCTGCCCAGCCTTTTCTTGAAAACCTGTGGGGACGGAGGCCCCACAGCTTCCGGAGGCAGGCGTTCCACTGCTGAATAGCTCTGTGCTCAGGAAACCCCTCCTTTGTTCAGGCTTGGATCTCCCTCTGTAAAGCTTCCACCTGCTGGCTCTCGTCGTAGGGAGAAGAGACCCACTCCCTCTCCCCCGGGACACCCCTTCGCAGATCAGAAGGCTGCTGCCCTGTCTCCGCTCAGCCTTCCCTCTTCCTTAAGCTAAATAAACCCAGCTCCTTCAACCGCTCTTCGTAGCACTGAGCCTCCAAGCCCTGCACCACCTTTCTTGCCCTTCTCTGCGCTCTTTCGAGTTCCTCAGCATCCTTTCTGCTTTGTGGTGACCAGAGCAGCATGGGGCAGTACTGTCACTCCCTGCAACCTTGACCCTATACCTCTACCGAATGCAGCCCAAACGGCATTTGGTTTGCTGCCCGGCCACGTGCTCCTGGTTCACGTCCACCTTGCGCTCAGCCGCCGTTCCTAGATCCGTTTCCCAAGCATGGTCCCCAAGCAGGTACCCCGCCATCCTACATCTCTGCCCGTGACGCCTTCCGGGTCTTCAGGTGCATCCTTGCGCTTCCAGTCCTTTTACCTGCTCCAGCCAGACAACTTTGGATTTTCTGCCTCTCCCCGCCCGATTCTGCACCACTGCAGCTTCGAGGGGCACGCGCCTTTTCTTCCTGGCCTTCGAGGGGCACCCGCCACCCCACCCCCCGCAGAACCAGGCCCACAGCCTGGGACGCCCTCCAGGCATTTGGGGCCGCAAACTCCGTCAGCCGCAG